CCCAAAGTCACATATATCCATTTTCTATCACTTTATAATATTCCCCAACAAAAGACAAAATTCCACTAATAAGATAAAACATAATTACATAGTTCAAGTGAAAGTTCCTCAACAGTTTAGATTCATCAAACGGAATAGTAGTCATTCCTTTTTTGTAGTGCCTTAGAGGATCATTTTCCTAAAACCACTCCTAACCCCCGTGACTGGTCCTTCCAGTATTCTTCTTTCATTGTTAAATCCTTTCCTTTGTCCAGTCACCACCCTGATTCTTTTTTTGTTTTGTTTTGTTTGCTAGGCAGTGGGTTTAAGTGACTTGCCCAGGGTCACACAACTAGTGAGTGTTATTTTTCTGAGGCCCAAGTTGAACTCAGGTCTTCCTGACTCCAGGGCCAGTGCTCTATCCACTGCCACCTAGCTTCCCCCTTCTTGATTTTTTCAGGAATACAGTTCCTCCCTGAACTTTGCTTTACTTTCTCTTTGACATAGGTTAGGCCTTTGTAAAGGATGTTTAAAGGGATTTCAGGGAAGGACAGTGATTAAGTATAGGACAAGGCTTAGTATCCTTCCATGCTTGGATATCAGGAGTTTATATTAAATTTAAGGATGCCTTTGTATTTTTTTTGGTCAAATTTGATTTTTAGGGATCCTGGAGGATTTTTTTAAAGGGACATAATAAAGGAATATGCTAATTAGCTTTAAAATTTGGGGGGTATTTTAAGTATTTAAATAGTATTTCACATTGGAAAGGCTTAGTGATAATGGGAATATTTTAGTATTAAGAAAATGTGTAGAATCAGTTAGGTTGGTACAGAATTGATTTAGTAGGCTGACTTCTCATTCTCAGAGTCGATAGATAGACTCAAGCTCATTTACTTATTTATATTTTGGGGGTACTATTAGGCATCTAGGTGGTAAAGTCAATAGAATGCTGGGCCTGGTTAATAAAGAAGACTTGCATTCAAATTAGCTGTTTGACCCTGGGCCTCACTTTAACCTCTATCTGCCTCAGTTTATCATCTGTAAAATAAGGATAACAAAACCACCTACTTCCCAGTGTTGTTATGAGGATCAGATGTTTGTAAGGTTCTGTCCTTAAAGTGCTTTATAAATACTAGCTATTGTATTTATGACTCTTGGTGAATTTACTGGAAGGATCTTTCCAGAACTCCTATAGTACTTAACTGTACTTGACTTTTCTGACATAGAAGGAACCACCTGATATTTGTTGATATGAAATTGTACCTTTCAGTGTCTTCCTGAAATTAGCATCTTCTTTCTTTATGTAGTGCCTCTGTAATATTATTACCTCATGGTAATTTTATTGTTTTTGTTAATTTCATGGAAAGTTTTGAGTAAAGATTTTAATAATCATGAAAACAGTTGATTTTGGGGCATTCACATAGACCATTGGCAAGTTTCTCAGGTTTTTTGAACCCTAATTTTAGTCATTTCATTTTTGCTTCGGGTTATCTACATCTAACTTATTTTCTGGTATCTGTCTTCTCTACCACAGATAATTGATAATGTTAGTTTAAAGCTTAAAAATATTGATACTAGTGCTAGCCCTAGCATAAGGTTTTCTTGTCATGAAAGAATGTGTAACATGGACAGGTTCTTCCGTTAGAGATTTAAATTTGGCATCATCTCTTTGAATTTTTATCATAGGGAGATCTTGAATTGACATGTTCATGCTGCTTTTCATCTATTCCAGGAGTAACGCAAGCTATCCTGTAGTCATGATGTCCTGGTAGTGAAGAGAAGGAACCTTAATTTCCCAATCAACTTCATTATCTCATTCAAGAACTTTTTTTCTTTTTCTTTTTTCTTTTAGTGACTGGATAGTAATGTGAACAGTAGTTACATGAATGAGACTGAGAATATGTAGTTAAGGTGCAATAAAGAGTACTTTTAGTCTGGGCCAGTTTATGGCACCATCCATCTATGAATCAGTTACTTTCATGTGAATGCTATTTCTTTCTAGCCAGCCACAAAGGGAAAATAAATGATCTTTTTTTTTTTATTCCTTAAAAACTCCTTGAAGTACATATCCTACTGAGAGTAGTAGTATTTTCCACAACACGAGTTGCCAGTTAACTTTATGTACACTTTGCTTTTAGGTCTTTTGTTTACTTCAGTTGAAGGTGTTCCTTGTAAGTTTTTAAGTAAAGGCAGCCCCCACTTGTGTATCTTGGGAACCAACCAACTACTGTACAACATAGTTGATTTAGAATTTTGAACATCCTGAGCTCTTTGACAGGTTCTCCTACTGTTAATTGGATTGATGCTGGAGTCCTAAGTGACTGATGAGGAGAGTGGGGAATATTCTTATGGGGCTTACTTGGCAGTGGGTTTGCTGTCATGTGTGGAACTATAACTTCAATTTGACATGTTAAGTATTAGGTACAGGATATATGGGTGGCTGGGCAGCACAGTGGATAGAGCGCTTGGAGTCAGGAAGACCTGACTTCAAATCTAGCCTCAGACACTTACTAGCTACATGACCCCGGGCAAGTCTCTTAACCCTGTTTGCCTCAGTATCCTCATTGGTAAAATGAGCTGGAGAAGGAAATCGCAGAACACCCACTACCCTAGTATCTTTACCAGTTCAAGCAGTCATTTTTCAGTTATGTCCAATTCTTCATGAAACTATTTGGGGTTTTCTTGGTAGAGATACTGAAGTGATTTACCATTTCCTTCTCCCCTGTACCACTTAGGTGCTCAGTCTTTGCCAAGAAAGCCCCTAATGGGGTCATGAAGAGTGGGACATGACTGAAACTACTAAACACCACCACCACCACCGGATATATAAGGAATGTAGTTGTTCAGTCATTTCAGTTGTGTCGACTCTTGATAGAGATGCTGAAGTGATTTATATAAGTGTCTGAGGCAAGGTTTGAACTCAGAAGATGAGTCTTCATGACTCCAGGCCTGGCACTCTATGCACTGAACCACCTAGCATATATAGGTTTACAAAGGAAAGCTACTGAACCACTATTTTAAAAATAAATTTTTTTTAATTGATTTCATGGATCTTGGGTTAAGAACCCCTGCACCATAGACATAATTCCCTCTTAAGCATTATAGCTTGGCCAAACAAAAACAAAAAACTGGGCAAGTCCAGGGAACAGGAATTCTGTAGTTGGTAATGTTCTCAAGTTTTTATAAGTGTTTTAGTATGATCATGGAAAATTTCTATTATGTGGGATTGAACTATGCTACTTCACTAACCAAAGTGGAGTACTTGCCATTTTGTGTTCATGTTTAGGAGGGAGAAACATTTTAGTGTGTTTCTTAAATAGCTAATAGCCATAGCAAGCTTCTTTCTTAGTTTTATTGACTGTGAGGGACATTAGAAATTACCTAGTGTGGTCTTTTGTTTTGCACATGTCCTAGGATTTGTACCCAAGTTAGCATTGCTATGCTCTAATACACTATATTCTCTCTCTGATAGTTGTACTCTCTCCTTGGTTTACCATGTAAATTAACCTGATTTGGTGGTCAGGTCTACTTAAATTATTAGAAATATAGCCATTTGGTATAAGAGGAAGAGTGGTAGGCTTGTGAGGTTATCTGAAATCAAATCTTTAACTAGTTAACTAGCTTTATACTCTTGGGCCAGTCACTCTAATCCACCATTTCCTAATTTGTAAAATAGGGGAAGATAGGAAGGTATTTTGTAGCCTTAAAGTGATATATAAATATGAATTTTTAATAAAGTTAATCTGGCTAACTTCTAGCCGTTATTTATACTATAAATTTGTTCCCTTTTGTTTTTATCTTTCAAATGTTGCTTTCAAACAAAGAAACCAGTTATTTTTCCCAGTAGGAAAATTGTGTCCTAGAATCCTTCATTGGTTACCCAGGGCTGTTTCCTACACCTTCTTCTCCTTTTATACTGTCTCCCTTTGGAATATCTTCTGTTGCCTTGGGTTTAATTATCATTATCTATGCCAGAATTCTTAGATCTATTTATCTAGTCCTAATCTCTTTTTCTGACCTCCACTCTCCTCTCTAAAATAGAACTCATTGTTTTTCTTTTATTTCCATATTACTGTCCAAAGTACTGCTATCCTTCCTATTACCAAGGCTTGCAACCTAGGAGCCATCCTTATCCTTCTTTTACTCAGTTTACATATTCAGTTGGTTGTCAAGTTTTTGTCATTTCTGCTTTCACAATCTCTCTCATATATGTTCCCTTTTCTCTTCACTCACACATCTGCTACCCTGCCTGGTTCAGGCCCTCATCACTTCATGCCTAGACTATTACAGTAGCCTTGTAGATGGTTGGTCTCCAGCTCATCTCTCCTTTCTAATCTGTCTTCCACTCAGATGCCAAAGTAGTCTTCCTAAAGCCCAGGTCTGGCTGTCTCTAGCTCTTTTTTTTCCTCTCCCCTTTACTCACTCTCCTCATCCCTTTTTTTCCCTCCCCTCCACCTCCCCAACTCAATAAATTCTGGTGGCGCCCTGTTACCTCCAGTAGCAAATACAAATCCTCTGTTTGAACTTTAAGGGCCTTTACAACCTGTCCACTTATCTTTCCAGGCTTAAACTTTACTCTTCTCTCTGATCCCAGCATCACTGGCTTCCCTCCTGGCTTCTCTGGCTTCATTTGAGACTCAGAATCCTACCTTCTGTAAGAGGTAGTTCCCAGTCTCCCCTCTGCTAGTGTTTTTCCCTCTGAGATGACCTCTCATTCACACTGTATACATAGTTTTTTGTATCTAGTTGTCTTCATCTTGTCTCCACCATTAGAATATAAACTCTTTGAGGGCAAGGACTATGTTTTTGTCTTTCTTTGTGTCCTCAGTGCTTGTCACATAGTAAGCTCTTAATAAATGCTTGTTGACTTGACTTAGTGTATACTTTATATAGTGGAACAATTTTGGTGCTGTTTTAACCTGTTGAATCCTAGGGTTTATGTGTTGGACTTACGTTAAATAATTGGCACTGGGCACTTAAAACAGTAATTTCTGTTCATTATCTGTTTTTTTCCCCCATAGGCTGCTGAATATGTCCCAGAAAAAGTGAAGAAAGCAGAAAAGAAATTAGAAGAGAATCCATATGACCTTGACGCTTGGAGCATTCTCATTCGAGAGGCACAGGTTTAGTGATATAGGATTACATTTCCTTCTCTATGGGTCCAATCACACTCTTTGGTTCTGGAGTAAATATTTACATAATCATAATATTGTAAATGCTATTTATTGGTTTTTAATTTTTAGAATCAACCTATAGACAAAGCACGGAAGACATATGAACGCCTTGTTGCCCAGTTCCCCAGTTCTGGCAGATTCTGGAAACTGTACATTGAAGCAGAGGTTAATATTTTTTATTTTACTTTCCTTATATAACACCCAATAGAAATTGAAATTTACACAATAGTGATAGAAAATAGTGAAATAGGAACATAACCACAACTAGGACAAGGAGGATTTAAATGTCTCTTGCCTTTATTTTGTAAAATAGGTATAAAGGAGTAATTAAAATGAATTCTGAAATTTGGGTTTTTCACAAGCTGATGATTGTTGCATTATGGAATTGCAACAACATTAAAACAGTTTCAATGGTATTGGAGTGCTTTAGCCTTTTATTTACTTGTCGTGTCAATTTATTGCCTCCTGTGTCATTTATTTAGAACTCATTTTTCTTTTTGTTTCTACTTACAAACTAAATACGAATGGGCTTATGTGAAAATATGGAAATGTTAACCTTAGTTTCATAGGATATTTGAGTGTCTCCAATGATGTGTGAAACATTGTTTTGGGGCACACATGATTTCCAGTTTAAATTTCTGTATAAATGTATGGGTTGTCAAGGTATTGTAATCACTTAAGTAATACAAAAAGAATTTTATGTGTCTTGAGTAAAGGTTAATTTTGAAGTGAAATAAACACATTTATTTTGCTGAAGACACAAAATTTAGACAAAATTTACTTGTAGAAATTCCTGAATTTTTATAGTAGCCATAGAAAAGGTTTAAAATTCATTTAATATTAATTAATTAATTAAGCCTTCTTGTTCGCCATTTTAAAATGTGAGGTCAGGGCAGTAGGTTAAATATTAATGAATTTAATCATTTGAAATTGATTTTTATAAATGTTTAAAGTCCAAATTAAGCTACAAGTTGTCTGTCTTATAACCACTTTTATTTGGGATAGGAACTTCTCAATGTAAATTCTCCACATGCCTAGCTACACTGGAACCTTTTTATAACATGATCTCACCGTATATTATCACATTTATGACAACATGGGCCTCTCTTGTTGCCAGAAGTGCTGAAAGGACTTCACTGTAGCACAGTTTCATCTGTGATGTGTTCTACAATATGGCCTCTACAGATAGCATTATAGAGAGGCTCCAGTGTACTAATTTTACTTGTGGTCTGCTGAATGATAACATTTTGCAACATTTGGAAGAGATTAGATTAGAAGAGTGTGAACATTTTGTGTGTATGTTGCTCTGTGCGTGTGTGTATGTGTGTGTGACACATACCTTATGCGGCGTCTAGTTGCATTTCTTCTTCTGCTTCACATGCTCTGAACAAGTCTTTGAGGATGCCTCGCTCATTCTTTGGTAACATATCTTCCCCTTTAAAACTAAACCATCATATTAGACTGCCACAAATATAACAGGTGAGTGAATAGCCCTATCTGAATTGCAGACATCTTTGCTGCTCTCTGTCACTCAGTAAAGGAAGGAACCTGGATCACCTGAACCTGATCTGCATTGCAGTGCTGGCTTTACAGAGAAACTAGCTTACGTGCAAGCTCATCAGAAATAATTGTATATCGTATGTAATATATTCTCAATAATGGAAATATGATAGTTCTTTGTATTAGAAACATTACATTTATACCACTCACCTCCTGACCGAGAAGTGATGAATTTAAAATGCAGAAAGAGACATACATTTTCAGACATCGCCAATGTGGGAATTTTTTTTTTGCTGATCTATGCAGCTACAACTCTAGGGCTTTAATTTTCAGTTTTTTTTTTTCCCCCTCTACAAGGCAGGGAGTAGTTGGAGGAAGAGACGGATTCATAAATAACTTTTTAAAAACTTCTTAGAAAGATGTTGAGACAGTAGCCAAATAATGAAATTGGGAATTGACAAAAACTCCCTAATTCATTAGTCTAGAAAATACACCATAGATCTTTAGTAAAGATATTGAGATTTTAGCTATAAGATGCAAGCTACATTCTAAAGGAATAGAGTGTTTTTTCAGAATATTTGCAACCAACTTGAATTCAGGGGACTTAAAAAACAAGTTTATACTCATTTCATGACAGTGTTTCAGAGCTGGCCATCCTTAACTTTATTTGCCTCAGTAATTTTATGAAATGTTTGCTACGATAATTCCTGGATGATGCAGGGAAATATGGTTGTGAAAGAGTTTTTTTGGTTTGTTTTTTAAAACCATAAAACTATAAAGATTGTGTACTTTGTATTTTGTGGCATCATTTACTTGGTTAGGAATTAATATAGTAGTTCATTTCCTTACTTTAGAAACAATTATTTCTGAGATATATTTCTTTACTGATAATTAGCTCTCAGTTTTCCCCCAGATTTAATATTTAGTTTTTACACTTACATCAGAGTTAACACTTTTTCTTTGGTCATCCCACTTAATTTGGCATTCTTGAATGGCATATGTAACATTTCAACTTCTTAAGGTGATAGAGAACATGGTGGCTGGCATAATACATAAGAGAAAATTCATAATACTTGCTAAGCTGCTCTAAATTATTATAAGATTTGCAATGTGTACCTGTAAGAAAATGAGATTTTGTTAGCATATTCATATTATTCACTTAGGAAGGCTCTTAATTTCATTCAGTAGCTCATTCAACAAAATATTAATAATGTATTCAGCTGATCTGAGCATAATGAGCCCAACAAAGTATTGCTGTGATTTTCCCAAAGAGAGGGAAACCAGTGATATGTGAATAAGTTATCCTCTCTCCACCCCCAATAGAGAGAAAGGAAGGGTAAATAAAATTTTGAAATTATTTTTATATACACAGTGACAAAACTATTGCAAAACATTTTTTAATTCTTCCTTCCAGTGTCAGTGATAAGAATAAGGTAAAAATCAGAGCTTAAGTTTTAAAGTTGAAACAGTTAAAATGAAAGCAAATATAGATGATTTTATTTAATAGGAGTAATAGCTCATTAGTTTAAATATTGGCCAGTGGGATTTTTTTTTTTTTACACATAGAGTAAAATAACAGTAGTTAACCATTTAATGTGTATTAGAAACATGAACTATAAATTATGTCATTCATTTTGCAGAAGACATTTGTTTGTAATAGTGAAATGGATTACTTTTCTTACTATGCAAATTGATCTGTTATTGTGATTTTTAAAATAATTTTTTTTATTAAAAAGTCTGCAACGACCAGCTCTTTTTGTGTATCCATGTGATATTTAAAAATCTATTCAAATTACTTTGGACCACAGTTTTGCCCAAAAGTATGTGAACTACGTATACTAGGTCTTTAATTTCAAAAAATGAATTAAATATCCCTTATATTTTTAGTTCATCATTTTCATAGTTTAAGTCATATCTATGTTGAGGTTTTTGATACTTGGCCATATAACTTATTAGACATGAGTTTGAAAACTCATGTCTAATAAATAAACATTAGTAATAGAGTCCAAATATCACCTTGCGTGATCAAACTATTTTTTTGTTTTTTTAATTGTGGGATAGACCTTTTCACAAGTCTCATTGAGCATACAGCTATATTTAAATATTTTAAATAAAAGTAGTTTGTGTTCTAAGAAATGCCATTTCATATATTCCCTGGGTCACATGGAGTACAACACTGCTATAATAACCATTGAGAAGAAACAGCTTTTGAATCTTACATTATTTTGAATAGTTAAGAAAATGACAATTAGTGTCAAAATTGGAACACTTTTGACGCTTAACATTAGAATTGTAGAATATGAATACACACACGTGTCTTATTTACTGTTCTTAATTATTCTATACATGATACAAACTTATGTGTAGGCAATGAAGACATAGAAACTGTGCTGCAGCATTCTATTACGTTAGGTGCAACTCAGGTTTTCTGAGTTGTAACATTTTATGAAGATACTTACAATTTTTTGCCTATTGAAGGATGTTTTTGATGGTAGCTAAATAAGTAATGAAAATGCTGCTACTACTAGGATGAATGTTTTGTTAATGCAAGTTGTAATTCTTGAATAAAAATATGTAGTGAGTTGATTGCTTCTTTTGAAAAATGTTGAATTTAAAAAATTTGTCCCTTATTCTTCAGTTTTATCTTTATCTTACATATAATAGATTAAAAAAACATATGCCATTTAAAAAATAGGCTTTCTGCTTGGGAAATCGAAGTGACTTCAGGATGGAGCTGGAGTGACCTAAATCGAAATAAACTTCTCCACTGCTAACGTTCCTCTTTAATATTTTTTTGAGCTAGCCTTCAATTATATTGTATTGGAACTTTATTTGTATAAATATAGACATGTGACTTTTACAAGTAGCCAACTCTATATGATGCTTACCCTTCTGTATACTCCATACTGCATATATCATGTAGCTAATAGTTTTTTTCCTGTTTTATCCTTAGCCTAAAATCTGTACGTTTTCCTGATGGACTTGCTCTTTTTCTGTTTGTAATAAATGTTGGTCCATGTCTGTGTGATTATTACAGATTTTATCGTAGAAATCAACTGTGCTTTTTTGTTTGTATGATATGCTTTTCTGAAAACTAGTCTCATACCGATGTATAAATGTAGGAGTGTATAATTTTGATTGGAGATGGGGGTGTGAAATTTTCTTGCAAACACACATTTTGTGCTAGCACAGAATGGATCAGATTATGAAGGCAATCAACTCAAATAGTTGAATAACTTAATATTTAAGGAAAGGAATATGTTGAAAGAATACCTAATATGGATAGATATTAGTCCTTTGAACATCTTTTAGTGTTTATTAAAGTGCTTTTCCTTTCCCACGTCTCACCCCTTCATTCGTAGCACAGGTCCTGTCTTTCCATTTCCACAAAAAGGAAGTATGTTCTCTTGGTAATTACTCTTCATTTAACACTTTTCAAACTTATCATGTAAAGTCATTGTCTGAAGTAAAGGAAATTTGCCTCAGATATTTCTTTTGAACAAGTAATTCATTTCCAAATCCACAATAAAATCTTACATTTTCTTTTTCCTCATATATTTTGTTAGAAGCACAAAAGCCATTTTTAAAATATTTAGCCTAATGTATTTGGGAGGTACAAGGTTTTCCAACATTAATGTTTTTCTCAATTACAAATCACTTCACAC